CCACCCTGCCTAGGAGCGAGATGGCTAGGACTGAAACCTCTACAAACTATAACCCAAATAAATCCTTTCGCCTTTAAATTTGAGTGTTGAGTATTTTATCTCAGCATTGAGCAAAGTAACTAAGATAATACGTAACACAAAATTTAACATTTTAACCATAAGAAGTGTACAATTAAGTGGTAGTCAGTACATTCTTATTGGGGTGCATCCATTACTATCATCAAGATTCAGAAATTCTTCATCTTTCCAAAATGAAGCTCTGTGTCCATTAAACTATAACCACCTACATCACCATCCTTGTGATGCTTAGCAAATACTATTCTACTTTGTCTCTAAGATTGTAATGGCTGTGCGGGTTTTATGTAAGTACAATCATACAACAGTTGTGTTTTTCTTTCTGTCTTAGTGCAAAGTGATTAAGGTTCACACATGCTGTACCATGTGCCAGTAATTTATTCCTTTTTAAGAATGAATAAATTGTCATTGCATGTATATGGAACATTTTGTTTATCCACTTGTCTGTTGATAAATATTTGAGTTGTTTCCACATTTTGGCTAATATGAATAATGCTGCTATAAACATGAGTGTATAATATCTGTTATGGTCCCTACTTTTAATTATTTCAAATATTATGTGGAAGTGCCATTGGCAGACTGAGAGACTGTCGTACTGTTTTCCACAGTGGCTGCATTATGTCACAGTCTTATCAGCTTGGTGTAAGAGTTTAAATATCTCCATATCTTTGCAACACTGGTAATTTTCTGTTTTGTGGCAGTAGAGATTGAACCCAAGGCCTTTGCATACCCAGACAGTTTTTATTTTCTTAGTTTGATGCAGGGCCATGCTAAGTTGCCCAGGGTGGTCTCAAACATGTGAACCTTCTACTCAGTCTCCCACTGTACTGGAATTTTAGGCAGAATGTGCTTTCTGTGTTGTGAGTGTTCCCTCCTTGCTCTGAACTAGAAAGTTCACTCTGAAGCTCTTTCTTCAAAAAAATATATTTTTAAAGAATACAAAATAGTGATTTAAGAACAGCATTAGAAACAATACAAGATTTCACTAAACAAAGTAATAGGAATTCAACAGTGGCTATTGTATTACATGATGCTATCTTCAAATTAACTGTCCATACTACCCTGAATGTGCCCGATCTTGTCTGAAGCACTTTCTTTCATCATAAAATGACCTTTACATTTGTTTTCTGAATTTGCTTCAATGACTTGAATATTTTAAGGAAAATTTGTTGTTTTATTAAAACATCTTGTGATGTTATCTGCATTATCCAAATTTTGTTAGATTATTAGAAATGTGTAAAGATCCAAAAATGGATACTAGTTATTTGTTGAGTACCACTAAATCTGTATTTCTCTTACCTAGTTTTTTATTCATTCCCAAGCATTTACCAAGAGAACATGAGCTAAACCAGTTCACACTGATACCTCAAACATTTTTTAACCTTTTTCTTTATGAACTAGGGCACATCCCTAATCTCACTACCTGCTACTTGCCACAATTTGTGAGCTTTTTTATTTTTTATTTTATTTTATTTTGTATAGGGAATACAAATTAGAATTAAAACAGAAAAAATTACAAGTGTTTCAGAATTTCACTTAACAAAGTAATATGAATTTCACAGTATTTGTTGTAACACATAGCGTTGTCTTCCAACCAGTTATTCATATTACCAGATATATGTGTGGAAAATTGGAAGAAGAAAGAAATGTGTAAGAAACTAATAAGAGAACAAGTACAAACAATTGAGAAAAGAAGATGGTACAGGGTCTCACTGCGCAGCTCAGACTCATAGTGATCCTCCTGTCTCAGCCTCCCCCATACTGGGATTATAGGTGTATGCTATCATTCCTGGTCTTGGTGGCTGGCTCTGGGCACCCGGAACAGGGCCGGCACAGCATGTGGTACCAGGGATAGAACCCAGGTCCTTTCACTTGCCTAGGCAGGCACTTAGATCACTGAGTTATCTCCGCGGCCCTGTGAATTTTTGTATGAAGAGTATGCCTACCCCTGTTGCACAGAATATCCTCACTAAAGGGGAAAGGGAGTTTTACCACAGAATATACAGAAATGATATAGGTAAATGCACCTAGATTCATAAAAATCACTGTTCCTGCTGAGGGAAGCTGATGCCTTGTTCCCTTATTGTCTTTCACTCATTTTCTGATGATTTGTTATTGCCTAAGCATGTCCTACAGGTCCTGACTTCTCATGTGCTTGTTCTTTTAGACCCACAGAATGTTAAAGCTAAGTGAAACTTGTTAGCAGTGTCTCTTTCCAGAAACTAGAAAAGTAAACAGATTCTTCTCTAACAGGTTGACAGGAAAACCTGGATCTGCTTGAACATAAAACATATATATCACAAGTAAACTGTCGGTTCATATGTGAGCTTCCTTTCTAATCATGAAGGAATTGTTGAATAATTATTTGCCAATACAGGCAGAACACTTCTGTTTTCCATTGAACCTGGTGTTAGCAGTAAGTGCAAAATATCTGGTAGGGCATAAGAATATTTACCATTTCCCTGCCCTTTCAATTCTTGCTTCCCTATAAACATCTGTATTGCATGAATGTATGTGATATATGTCTCAAGTGCCTGCAAGAGAAGGGACGACTTTGAAATTACTAAGGTATGTGGTTCATGATGGCAGGATGTTGCTGTCTTACACGTTTTCATCCTTCACCTTTCCCTGCTGGTTTCCTAAGTGCTGTTGTTATATTATTCGTGTTTTATACAGCACTGCTGAGTGAACCCAGGGCCTTTGTACTGAGCTATATAGCTACATCCTTAGCCCATTCTCTTTTTGTTAGATGGGGTCTTCCTAAGTTTTTAAGTTGCCCAGACTGGGTTTGCATTTGTGAAACTCCTGCCCCAGTCACCCAGGGTGCTGGGGTTACAGGCCTGCACCACCTCACTCCTCCTGTGATGCTATATTCTAAGACAGGGGAGACAAAAGTATTTAGTAGACCCAAACATTTGTCTTTGCAGAGGAGACAAACAGTGTCTTTCACAACTACTCAGCTCTGACTGTGGTGCACAAAAAACGCCACAGACTATATGCAGATTACTAAACATAATTATGTTCTTGTCAGATTTTGTTTATATAACTGCATTTTAAATTTCATATATTTTTATTTTTTTTAAAAATATTTATTTATTTTTATTTATTACATTTACTTATTGTGTGTGTGTGTGTGGCCAGCTCAGCCCACCAGGGGGCGGGTCTGGCTGGCATGTGGTGCTGGGGATCGAACCGCGGTCCCTGTGCTTTGCCAAGCTTGTTTCAAGTAGGTGCTTTAGACCACTGAGCCATCTCTCCAGCCCCTAAATTTCATATATTTTTACATCACTATATAGTTATCAATTTTTTCAACCATAAAAACTGTGAAAGCCAGGGGCCGGGGAGATGGTTCAGTGGAATAAGTGCTTCCCTGGCAAGCGCAAGGGTCTGATTTCAATCCCTGGTTCTGGAAAAAAAAATTGTAAAAGCCATTCTGAATTATAGGCCCATAAATTAGGCAACAGGTCAGTTTTGGCCAATGGGCTGTATACCAATTTCTACTTTAGAATGCTAATTTTACTTCCACAAAACACTGGAACATGTAAAATGTTTTCCTTTTTCACCTGCTTAACACACTGAGAGGACTTTGTTTCCTGATTCTAATGTTACACTTAACTCTAGAATCCTAAGTTTTTCATAAAGATCCCCACATTTGACTAGTCCTCAACTTACATAATCTCCTGGTGTCCACCTCAATATAGAACAGACATTTGTACAATCATAGATTTCAGGTGGGCCATCATGGAGTGTCTAAGATTAAAAGAGTTCTGTTCCCTCAATTGATGTGTAGATTGATGAAGTGGTAAACAGGTTTTCTGGGAAAGAACTGCCCATAAGGAAAGAACTGGATAAACAAGGTCTTCCCACAATGCTAAATAGGCAAGGGGATATTCTGTAGTTTTATGAAGATTCAATTCATTGCGAGTTCTAGAAAAATCCATAGTAATTTCTCAGTTTGAAAATTCATAGACATCTGAAGTGGTGGGTAGCCAGGGTAGGAAGGAAGATCTACTACACAGAATAATACCCAGGGGAGGGGATATGAACAGAGCGAAGCAGCACAAGAACAGAAGTGCCTAACCCTTAGCCCCCTGAACTTGAGGATGGAAAAGGCATCACTTTAGAAGTATCCTCTAGGAACTGAAAGGAGTATCCAAGCAGTTTAGCAAATGTCAGAGGGAATGAAAACTTGCAGAAAGCTCACAAAATTACTACATCATATCGTTCACACAGCACCCTTAAGAGGTGACTATCTCCAAATCACTGATCAATAAAAAGATACTTTAAAAATGTTTCTCTTATTGTATTTCTAAATAAAAGATGCCAGGGATGAGCCAAAATTGATATTGTCACAAGTGTTTAGTAAGTACTCATATTGCTTATAAGTGGTCAAATTCTTGTATTCAGTATGTGTTAAGTACTGCTGTGGTTTGTATATTTTTGTCCCCCAAAGCCTCATGCAGTTGTGGGGCAGCTTCTAGAGTTTGTGATTAATTCATGATCCAATGCTGGGATTATGGGTGTGAGTGGTACACCCGTCCTGGGCCAGATGACTTGAATGCAATTTAAGTAAGGGAGAGAGCCTTGCTCTTTGCTCTGCCTCTCTGCTGCTGTGTCTCCTCCCTTTTTGCTCTTCCTGTTTTCCAACACCATGAACAGGTGCCCTCTGCCATCTGCCACTGTGCTTTGGAGCCAGCCAAGAATAGACTGAAACCTCCACAAACTGTGAGCTAAAAGAACCTTTCCTTCCTTAATTTTGGGTGTCTGGTATACTATCCCAGCAATGAGATAAAAGTAACTGAAACAAGTATAGAAAAATTACATAAAAAGAAGAAAATAAGGAGATTTAAAAAGTTGTGTCATAAATTTTAAGTAAAAAAGAATATAAAGAATGCTTTTTAAAACTGCTTTATTAACTTCACAATATATAGTGAGCATCTTTTCATGCAATAGGTGTACTCTGCTAACAAAAGTGATACAGTCTGGGTCAAAAATACATTCTATTAGAAGCTGTAATAGGAGATACATGCAAACCAGTGACATCAAAAGGCTTACAGTAGTACATCACAAACATGTAAGTTTAGGAAGCGGGTGTTTCTGAAGGTGTTTAACTCCAAGGAAAACACCCCAATTCAGGGCATAAGGCAAAAGTCACTGTGATGCTCATGGCGAGGAGGATCATTACTAACTGCCCGAAAGCTGTGGCTCAACTGCCTTTCCCTCAGCTTTTCCATGAGTTGTCTCACCTCCTCCCCAAACCTTCCCACATGCTCTTTTCTCATCCGTGCCTGTGGCTCTCCAAGCCTATGCATCAGGTTCCCTCTTTCATGCAGGACGGGCTGCCCAATTTCGAATTTCCTCAGATTGCCACTAGGCACACAGTATCCATCAGCTTCGCAAGGCACGGCCAAGGCCTCCCCTTTATTAGCATGTAGCTCCTTTTCATCTTTTTCTTCGTTTTCCTGCTGGGCATTTTCAGTGTCGAGGCTTTTCATCACTAGTTCCTGTTTGGATTCCATGACTCCTAAGAGACAAAAGATGGGGACTGAATTCTTGGTGAACTGATCAGCACCGAGGACAGAGGCCCCACAGCACACAGAAAATTTAGAGACCTGCACTTCAAAGACCTACAGTTAAGGCTCCCCAGTCGGTGCCATTCCCTTTCCCAAAGCCCTGCGTTTTTCCCGCAGATCCATCTCCTGGCTACTGCAGGAACCAAAATGGAGGACGAGGTTTAAATGGGAAACAGGAAGGAAAAAATAGAGAGGGTACTTGCGTGAGGCCTCAGGCTGGGCTGTCCACGGTCCCCAGCTCCCTCTAACCTGGGGCTGTCCTTGTCTCCTCTTTTCTTCTTTCCCTCTTCCTTCTGCCGCTCAGATTCCTGCCCCCAGGAGAGCCGCTGTGGCCCTGGGCCCCTCAGACCTGCAGAAGGCCACTGTAGGACCGGAGAGACAGCAGCATCCCAGAGCTTCAAGCCCCCTCCAGTACTGAACACCCCCTCATCCGGGTATTCCAGCTTCTCCACCCCACTTCCACTGCGCCGCCACGCCCCCTTGCAGACCACCATTTTCTGCATCCGGAAGGACCGGGGCAGGGTGCCTGGCAACGGGGCGCGGGGGGTGTGGGGGGTGTGGGGGCAAGAGGCGCACTGCCTTCCCCTGGAACCTGGCGGCTCAGGCAGGACCCACAGGCAGGAGGACAGCGCACCTGCGCCTTCTTCCTTCTGACCGAGGGCTACAATGCTTTACCGCTGCGTCTCTGCCCAGAGGCAGCCAGACCCCTGGGGATGAAGTTCCCGCAGGCGCGCTGCTGTCCCATCCCAAACCCTTAGACTGCATCTCGGAGTCCCTTACCTGGACCTCTTATCTCTGGCAGTTCCAGGCTGCCTCAGGCGCGCGTCCTCAGGGAGTAGGCAGGGCCTCTTAGACCCAGAGGCTGTGACCAGGTCTGGCGGTGGAGCCCAGCGCTCGGCTGACTCAGCCAGTCACGTGAGGCTTCAGACCCTGCCCCCGGCTCCGCCCCAGTTCCCAGCCCCCTACAGCTGTCGGAGAGCGGCCTGGCCCTCCTTCGCCCCAAGTCCAATTAGTACTACCAGCCTAGGCCCTGTCACTACCTTGTTCTACTTTTTTTATGTCTTTAAGACAAGATCTCCCTGTGCAGTTCACTCTGGCCCTGAGCTCACTTTGTAGCCCTTCCTGAGTACTGACATTACAGGCACACACCACCTCTCCTGGCTACCATCTTTTTAGTGTTCCCCTGGACCTTTATCTGGCTTCCAGAGAAATGCAGTGTCTTCTCAGGAGGCCATTTGCCATTCCCATTTCTCTGGGAGAATTGCCAATCCTGCTCCTCCACTGTTGGATACACTTTCCTTCTGCTGTACTCTCAGTTTTCCATTGCCCCTGCCCTAAAATGTATGGAAGGAGTGTCAGGAAAAGAGCCTGAAAAAATAGATCAGCCACATTCTTCATGCCTTTATGGGAAAAAAAGTATATATAGAAAGTTGCAAAAGAAGGCCAAACCATCTGTCTCATGTTGTCATTATATAAAATAGGCTCTGTTAGGCAGCTGCTTTCTAGAGCTCTGCAAAAGACAGGGCAGTTGGCTACCCCTCTTAGGAGGGGACCCTAGATGGTGAGTGCTTTCAGTGAGGTAAGTCAACAGATAGATAGTGCCACAGAACTTCATCAGACTTTCAAAATGAAAGAAATAAAGAAAATAAAGAAATAAAACCCTTTCCAAATTGTGGGTATGTCTGTATTTGCACATTAAATGACCATTATTTAGAAAGTCACAAGCAATCTGCAATAAACATTACATGACTGAATTCAATTTAGGAACTTTACAGTTAAGTGATAAATACACAAAACACAATTGTACTTAGACATGCTAGTAATAAACAAATGTTAAAATATCATTTATAGTGCCTTAAAAATGTAAAATATTCAGAAATAAACTTTAAAAACACAGAAAGCCTACACTGTAAAGTGTCACACATTGCTGAAAGATGAAAATAAATGTAAACATATGTGACAGCAATCTGTTTTAATATCCAGTACTCAGAATTAACCAACAAAATCTGTGATCCAAATAAAATCCCAGCAGATTTTTTAATATAAATTGACCAACTTAGCTCCAACCTTACATAGGAAAGCAGAGGACATAGAAAACAGAATTTTTTTGAATGTTCCATAAATCTGGAGACCTACAATACTCTATATAAGTATATGCTTTAACATGTCATAACAACGGTTGTATCTTATCAGAATAAACATA